AAAAATTAGTTCTTAACTTACCTTTAACCTCTTGCTGTGGTTCCAAATGTGTTCATTTCATTACCTATAATGACAATAGAAACAGTAGTGGGGTCTAAATTTTCACTTTTTTAAAGTCATTTTTAGATTAAATTACATTTAATAACCTTTCCTTATGCTAATGGTATAAATAAATAGGGTTAATTTGGAATAGCTTTTTAATGTTCATTCTCCAATTAAATCTAATTTTAGTCTTTCCAAAAATTGTCTGTAAAAAGAATTACTTGGTTAAACAAGATCATTAGTTTCTTTTTTTCATATCATATGATTTTTTTAGAAGTATTGAGAAGTATTGATTTTTATTAATTTCCATGTATTTGAAATATATGTTTTATCTATCACTTGAATTGTTTTTCTTTAAGTTTAAAACACGAAGTGTTATTAAATTAGTGTGGACATAAGCAGTTAGTATTAGTGTAATTACATTTGCTAATTTCAAAACCCTATCATGCCTTAAATTCATTAGTGTGACTGATAAATGAAAATGATTCATTTTAAGGTTTATGCAGTGGAATCTACATGACCAGAGTTTTTTCAATATAAAGTTGTACAAGTACAACATGTTTTATCACTTAAGTAAATGTTTTATTTTAAAAGGATAATTGTTTGGCAGAAAAAGGCACATTGATTTATTTTATATCTTGGTTCCAAAGTGCATATGATTGCTGCAATGTATTGAACTTTTTGTGTGTTATCTCCGATTATTCTTGAATTCCCAGTTAAAAAGAAATAATTATCTTCTGTAAGAGTAAATACAATAACAGTTTCAAATCAAATACCTATATATAGGGATCACATAAGCCTTTTAAATTCTCTGGTGACCCCTGGGTTTCTCCATATGTTTCATTGGCATTGAATGATCATTCATTAGTTTTACCAATTTCATGTCAGCAGACCTATCTTCTAAAGTAAGTCAAGTAAGCCTAAGTGAGATAGATGTACCAGCTCATCCTAGATATGTACAGTGGGGTTTATGTCTGGCAATCAGGGCATTCATAGCATAACTTGCTACTTACGTCCCAAGAAAGTCATTTTTAAACGAGCAGTATGTGGATGTGCTTTGTCTGTCTAGAATGTGGAGACTGTAGAATAAGCCTTTGAGAAGGGCAGCAGGTGATGTCCTAGGGTCCATATGTAGTCAAGTTGCCATCAGTCACAATGGCCAAATACTTCTGCCCCAGACATTCCCACTTTGTAGTGTACACATCAACACATTCTGTTGTGTCGGTGACTATCGGTGAATTCAATCTCTGTGTGACTGTTCGCCCCCCTCCTCACAGACTGCTTATTGCACTGGTGATTGTGACATGGGCTTTCTGAAACAGTGGGACTGGGAGTGCAGAAATGAAGGTGGAACATCATCATGTGTCAACATTGGTGTGGTGTCAGGACTCCTGGTGTCCAGACCATGGCTTATGATTGAAAGACCATGTTCGGCTGTAAAGTGTTTCTGGGTTAAAAATTGCAGGCTGGAAATGCCCCATATGGCAAGCAACAAGATTTCTATTTTTTGTCCAGATTTTCACCAGACTTCACATTCAGCAGGTTAAATCATCACCTGTGCTCAGTCAACTGTCTCATTAACAGTGTGACTCAGTGCTTATCCAGCAAAGTCACTTAAGTGTATCAAGTCAGTCAATTGAAGAATGATCAGTTAATCAGTATACAAAATCTGTGCACTTTATTTATCTAAAAACGTGTATAAATGGAGCAGTGCTGATGCTCTGTGTACAAATGTTTGCTTAAGCATAATTGTAAGGGCTTTAAATTAACCTTGTTTTATTAAGATAAGTGTCAGAATTGTCATGTCCCTTGAGGAAGTGCTTATTAAGTAAGTTATTTTGGTCACTGTTTTTTTCTTTTTTCTTTTTTTTATGGCAGTAATCCAAGAAGCATCTGAAAGGATTATATACTGAAGGCTAAATTTTAGCAGAATAAGATTGTCTTGAAGTAGTGTGCTCTACGTCTCCCACACCACACTCTATTTTTAGATGTGTGTTTTCTTTATATCAGTTAGTCGTATGGTTCTTTCCCTTGCTGACTTTAAGAAATATTAAAAACAGTGTTGAATTCAGATTTTTATCATTTTCTACAGAGGGAGGTTAAATCCAGTTTCTGTTGAACTACATGTATGGATCATTGTGTAAGGCTATACTTTTGACGGTATTTTTTCACAAACTGACAAAGGGTCACCTATTCATTTTGTTGATTTATTTATTTTGCCTCCGACCATTTAGAGGTCCACATTGTCACTTTCTAGCATCATGAAAACAAAAGCCTGTATTATTTTTATAATCTGCCTACTTATTTTTCAAAGAAAGCATCTTCTAGAAGAGAAGAACCCTTTGGGGATTATGATGTGAATTACAAAAATCCATGTTTCACAAAAAAATGAAATCCACAAGTGGGATATTGAATACAAAACAAAAAAATAAACATAAACTATACCAAGCTGCACTTCAGAATATATTAGCTCATTGTGTGATAATCAAATGCTGCAAAACATCCACAATATATCATCTGTGTAGAAAAATGTTAAGCTAGAAACAAAAGTGACCTGAATTTTGAGATGATCAGTGTGCCATTATGTCATTAGAGTGAATGTTTGTCCTACAATGACATAATGCATTCTAAAGTACAGATTACTATATTTTTGTTTAGAACCTGATTTCTCCTTTAATTGAAAGATATAAAGTAATGGCTTTGATCTAGCTCTGTCACTGGTAATCTTGTAAATCTGGTGATTCATAGAAGTCGTGTGCAAGAGGAACTGAACACAGAAACAGGAATTGGTTTGGAATATGATTCTGAAAAATATTTGTTTTCTTTTGCTTTCGTGCACAGGTGAAAGACAGAGGTCCAGAGGCAACACGAAGGTTTTTCAACTGGTTTTACTGGTGTATAAACCTGGGAGCTATTGTATCACTGGGTGGAATAGCTTACATTCAGCAAAATGTCAGTTTCAATCTGGGCTACATCATTCCCACCGTCTGCCTTGGCGTTTCCTTCCTGGTCTTCCTGTGTGGTCGGATGGTCTTCATCACCAAGCCGGCTGATGGCAGTGCCTTCACTGCCATGTTCAGGATACTGGGCTATATCTTGTGTTCCTCCAATCGGCCAGCAGAACCCACACTGTTAAGGTAAAGGAACGGCCATTCAACAGTAGCATACGTATGGACCATTTTAAACGCAGACTTGCATCATGTCTTTTTAAGACATAAGGTTCATTTTGTGTCGTTTTTAGTGGTCCACTCAGGTTAAAAGGTGGGATTTTTGCTTTAATGGTACATGGGGTTCCCTTTATGAAAATGAAAACTGGTTGCACGCAGCATCTCTCAGGAGAGAAGAGCATTGTTTAAAATTTTGAAGAGAAAATGTTAATTTCTTCAGTACTTTTATTTTGCTTAATGAATGATTTTTTTGGTGTATTTTTTGATATTTCAGTTTTTTTTATAATCCTTAATTTGATCCCATAGTATGATTTAATTCCTTGATCCCTCTGTGCTATTGAAGTATTATGTATTTGTATAATTCATCATATTTGGAAACTAGAGGAAAGGTATTCCCTTGGGCTGTTGCATGACTGTGAAGCAAAATAGGACAGTTGTCTTGAAACCTGACTTTTAGTATTATAAGGTGTCCAATCCTGAAGTCTGAATTTCTTATTATGAGTATGTTCTCCAGAGGTTGGGATTACTTGAATTGAAATAGGTTCTAGTTATTGTCCTAAATCTGGTAGCTTTTCTCCAATTTACATATGAATGTGTCATTTTATATAGATTTTCAGAGGAGGTATTTTGTGTTTATATGTCTCAAGCATAAATCTTTCACTTTCTGCTACTTTTATTAGACATTGATTAACAGCTAGGCCCTTTTTATTGCAATCTGCATTTTGAAGTTTAATATACAATGTAATCAATATTTTTGAAATATGGTGACATTATCACTTACCTGTTATTTAAACTCTACCTTTGTTTAAATAAATACTATATTTAATAATTAAAAATTGCTGTAATTGTAGGGCCACAAAACTTTGTATGAGACAAGCATTAGATGCTTTCAGTTTTGTTCATAAAGCTTTTACAGGTGTGCTAATCTGTAAAATGTAAAAACAAACGTATGTGCTAAATTGTCTTGAAAAACACCACAGAAATGTTGAATACCAATGCAAATCTTTTAGCCTATTATTTTAAGTGTTATTGAAAGGTAAACTCCAGTGAAACATTTGTAATGTGGACTGTAATTTTCTATTTCAAGAAACGGTGGGAAAGTTAACACAATTTTATTCATATGACCTTTTATCTTTATATATCCCTAACAGTAATAAAATAGTCTGTTCATCCTTCTGTTATTTAGTCTCAAGGCAAAGGAAAATTAATAAGCAATCTTCTCCCAATATTCGTTCTTCAGACACAGTCGAAATGGATTGTCTTCATCACGGCCTAAACCCAGTTTACTGGATACAGCTAAAGAGTCACATGGAGGACGGTTTACAGAAGAGAAAGTAGAGGAAGTGAAGGCTCTTGTCAAAATAATTCCTGTCTTCCTGGCCCTTATCCCATATTGGACCGTATACTTCCAGGTAAAGTACTGTCTGGACATTCAAGTTCACTTGTCTGATTGCACTCTCAAATCACTATACAATGCTTTGCTGTGATGCATAGGCCAAGGTCCCTGTGTTACTGTTTTGTTCACGTTTTACTTGTCTGACTATTCTTTGATAAATCAGAGACAAGTAAGATTAAATTTCTACTGAATGTACATCACATACAGTATTAATGTTTAAATGTATACACTTCATGCTTTTTGGTAATGTATTGTGACTGTGCATTAGTATGGCCAGCTTTTAATGAAAAATAAAGTGTAAGAGAAGTAAATGTAAAAAGTTAGACCGTTTTAAAAATGTAACTATGGAATGTGAGGTATTGTACTGCATTTTACAGATATGTAAAACCATTTAAGACATTTACTTTCTGATATATATATATAGCATTATTTCTTAAAGTGATGCATTCTATAAAGTATGCATTATAAAAGGTTAGGATTCTATTGTGGTTCTGTGGTCTAGACATTCCTTTTTTGATTGGTTAAGAGAGGGAGAGAAAATGGCATGAGTGTAACGTGTGCTGCTTTTGTCTCTTTACTCAATTATAGATGCAGACCACATATATCCTCCAAAGTCTGCACTTAAGAATTCCTGCAATCTTTTCAAATAGTGCAGGAGTAAATTCTTCTAAAAGCTCAGCCTTGCACACGGTAAGTAAAATAAGGCATGTCTGTAGAGAGATAGCAGGAGGAAAATAGTCTTTTGATGAGAACTTTTACTGTGAGTTACATTTTTACCAGTATCCCTCAAGATGGTACAAGCTCAGCATGTTAACGCAAGCTGGTGTCTGAACATATCAAGGTTAAAACGCTGCTACGGTTACATCAGTTTGCTGTCTTACCTGCTGTCATCTGATGAATTGAGCTCGCAAAAAGCAATATTCACATGGGTACATAGCCTTTCATAGCAGTACAGAAATATTACAAATGCAATGCTCTGTTTTTAGAAAATTGACAGTCCCATCCCAAACTCAAGTACACACATTTAAAAGAAAATGAAAAGAAAAATAAAACATCAGTGTTTCACTTGCCTCGCAGCCACCTGTCATGTTCCATGGTCTTTTTAGAGGCCTTCTTTATGAGTACTATACTGATAGACCTACCCTTTCTTTACTCATGACATCTTATGACTGAAGACTGAATATGGCTGTAGCAGAAGTTAAAATAATGTAGAAGGGCTGCTTAACCTTGTAGCCTACATAATGTGTACATAAAGTATGTTTCTGGTGTTCTTATTTTGAGGTTGCGTTTGTTGTATGGGCATTCAGTCATTAGCACACACTAATGCAAAATGGAAAATAAATATTGTAGCTTTCATGGTGCTAGCTCATATTAAAGCCATTTGTTTTTAGCAGGAAAGGTTCAGCAAATGTCACATTTATTTGCCAGCTTGTGTCCTTAGTTTGGATACACATTAAATTAATTAAACACTCTCAACTCCGGTTTTCCGCATGTTTGCAAGCTAAGGATCTTGTAATGCAATGCACAGCCTGCTAATTGTGTATTATCTTGCCTGGATCTTGTCTACATTTTAACTGCTGTCTCGTGTTATTTGTTACCAGTGCATATCCCTGCTTGTTAATTCAAAATGTTACATTTAAAAACAAAAGATTTTATAATACATTATGAATTCACTAACACATGGGCAAAAAGGATTCGTCATTACTTTTTAAACTAAACTATAGATCAGGGGTTCCCAACCGCGGGTTCACAGACCCGTAGGGGTTCATGGTGGTACTGCAGGAGGTTCGTGAGATTGTGATGGAAAAGTCAATGTCAAATTGAATTCAATTAAAAATATATATAAAACCAACAACAGAATTAGCTGATAGAATTAGCCTCATTGTTGAATGTCATGTGATCATAAGTTGTTAGCATGTCTTAATCATACGTGTATCAAAATGAGCAGATTTGTGGTTAATAAAAGAAATACATTGCACAGTTTAACTGCTGGAGGAGGGCAAACTGATTGATCTCACTAATGACAGTTTTTTACGTCAGACCTACCGGAGCTGTGGATGTATCTTAACATCATTTTGGTTGGACCCTGCTGTTTCATTCCCGTACCCTGAGCTCACACAAAAAGCCTTGAAAATGTATAAGATCACTTTATTAGCCATATACAATTTCTTGCATTAGGAATTCGTCTTTTTGCTTACCCCAGCTTGCTCTCCATGACTCACACAGAAAGAGAAAGAGGCCTGGGGTCAGAGCGCAGGGTCAGCCATTGTACTGCGCCCCTGTTTATTCTTTCACTGTTTGCAACCACATACTTATGCGAGTGTGGATTTTCGGTGCTGGGATCAATAAAAACAAAGCAGAGATCAAAGCTTGACGTGAAAGATGAGATAAGAGTATGTCTTTCAAAGATTGTCCCCAGGATTGATAATCTGTACAAGACTCACCAGGCACAGGTGTCCCATTAAAAAGGTAGGTCTATACCAGTCCAAATGAGACATTGAGTGAGCTTTAAATGCTTGTTTTGAGTTGTTAAATAGTCCTATTAATAAATAGGGGTTAAGCTGACAAAAAAGCTTGGGAACCCCTGCTATAGGTTAACTACTACCAAAAATAGATGATGTATCAGATATACTGTAGAGATTTATTTTTGTTAAATCTTTGTTAAAAAATGCTGATGACCTATTGCCAACATCCTCTTTAGTGTCCTGACTGTTGTGCAGAATCAGGGATAACTAATTTCATTACCAGGGATACTCACCATTCGGTTCGTCATTCAGTTAGTCAAACTACGAATGTCTTCACACAGACTTCCTGCTACATATAGTGTGTGGAAAATGTGATTATAACCGAGGAACAGTTTATCACATGCTGAAATTCATTGCCTACAAATCCAGTCAAATCCAACAAACGGTTCACCACAGAGCTTTGTTTTATCCTTGTTTTTTTTTTTCCAGTCATAGTGGTATAGAATTTATTCCATAGAAATACTACTTTTTGATAATCTTTTTATGTTCATTGTGATGTTGTATGAAGGGGATTATCAAGTAACTCACTTCACCAAGTGACAGGAATAATACATTTTTTTAACTCTTATCTAAATTCAGCATTTCTGGATATTGACTTCTTTGCATCATCATTAATTAGAAGATATTTTGTTTAATATGTATCTAGAGAAGTGGTGTGTTTTATCTTTTAAAAAGAGCAATCTGAGAAAATTAACCTTAATGCCAAACCTTAGAAATTAATGCAAGAAACTGTTTGAGTAACCATCTAGCAGGAACCCTGCTTTCCCTGTCTTGGGGAAATGATTATTAATGTGAAACGTTTAGAGTTAAAAAAAATACAGGTATATTTGTATCAGTCTCCCTTGGTACCTGTGTTAGCAAAACAGAAGCTATTACTCCACCTCATTTTATCCTCCTTACGTTAAAGAGAAAAGGAGAAGTGAAAGGAACACTTTAGTCTCATGATGTGGAAGTTCTAGTATTGTTTGTGGTATACTGGCATTCAGCTCTGAAGCGGATAGAAACAGTACCACTGCTACTGTATACACACGATTCACATTTTTAAAATAAGGTCTACATAAATTGAATAAGTATAAATGTTGTATAAGTATGTTCCACCAAATAATTATCATTTTAGTTTCTAAATGCCTACTTTTGTAAGAAAAAAAGTGTGAGTATCATCTCTAAGAAATCTTTTTTTTTTTTTCCCCAATTTGAAATCGCACTATACGTTAATTGTGTGACTGGCTTGGTTAACTGTGTACAATGGCTTGACTTAAATGAAACTGTTTTCTTCATATATTCATGAGCTTGAAGACTTTTCTGTGTTACAGAAAACAATATAACATGTTTACTATAACATGCCATTTTCAGTTTAGTAGTTTATTTAACATGCACCTATAACATGATTCATTATTAATTAAGACATCTTTATCTCTTTATGCATTGTTTTATTTCTACAAATACAATTTGAAAAATATGTAGTGCCTGTTTTTGCTTGTTTAACCTCCGTCTTGTGGCATAAACTGTTGTCTTGTCAGTTCCAGAACATGTAGCTTTAAAAAAGTGTCTCAAGGTTGATGGCCGGGATGTGTACAAGGGAAACAATCTAAAATACATGAAACCAAGAAGCTTTAAGAACTTCAGTGGATGTCATGCCACTATACTTCCCTATATCGCTTCCTCTGCTTTGCGAAATGCGATTTGAAGCTATGTTTTTTTGCTGCTTTATTAAAGTGAGATAAGAAAATATATTCTTAAACATGGTAGAAAAAGACAAAACCTTTATAAAAACATAAAATAGGGTATCCTGACAAAAAAAAAAGCATGATGGAATCGTTTCTATAGCATATACAGTAGTAAATGCCCTCTTGTTGAGAGAATAGTATTTATTCCACTTGTTGTTTTCCCAAGTAAGTCTGGGACTCATCAGTCCAATATTCTGTTCTCTTGCGAGAAGGGAAATGCTCCCACGTGTTTAGTCTGAGCTGAATTAACAGGAGGATAAAGAGATTCCTTTCCCCCCATGTTTGTGCCTCGCCTTAATTAACACTTACTAATGTAAATCTGTTCCCCTGTGACCACGGGGCTCTGTTGGGATGTTTCTGCCATTCAAACAAGGCTAAACTCATTTGTAAATAACCCTTAATTAGGGTATCTTTAAGCTGTTGAATATGACATTGTAGGGATTTAAAAAAAAAAACTTAAATCCTCAATGGCACATGCTGCTACAGAATGGTAAGTCTGAGGAATATAAATTTAACTGGGGAATAAAACTGTACTGTGGATAAACTATTAAAAGGAATGAAAGAGGTTTTGGGAGCTCAGTATGCATACAGAATGAAATTAAATTTGTGAAAGAAATCAGCTATGCAGTCAGTTGATTAATGCATTTTTATTTATTTTGCATACATTGTTCCACTTTGAGAGTGAATTCATCTAATGTTATATCAAAATGTTCTTGTTAAACCTCACACATTGACCTTGCAGTTCTGGTAGGTTGTTTTTGTGCACAACAGACTAAATTGTCATTTTTTTTTCAATAATTTTATCAACTTAACTTAATTTTTTTCCCTTCATGATTTATCTCTGAGGCTTTGCTACAAAGATGTGTGCTTTTAGCTAAACAATTGCTAGAAAGTTCATATTTGATCCCTGTTTATTGTTAATATAAGCTGCATTGTAAAATGTACATTATGCTAAATATTTAATGTTTTATGTACTCTATTGGAATATGCTATTTTTGGACTCGAATGTGCCAGTCTTTATAATATTCTGTGATAAAGAGTGGGTTCATTTCCAAATCAGGGAGGCTGTGGTTGCTCTTGAGTGAAAAGTTTAGTCAAAATGTTAGTCTAGTAGAACTTGAGAAAAAAACTAGTTTGTCTAAGTTTATAAAGTGCCACCTTTAACTGTTTCTTTTCTTTTATTGATATTTTTGCTGTCCTTTAGATTATTCTCAACAGAGTAGATATTTAATAGTATTACGAATAGCATGCATAGTATTGTACAGCTCGAGGAGATGCATTTTATACTAGTGATAACCACATGATGGTGCTAACACAATGTCAAGGCCAATGAGGTTATACATTTATTATTTCTTTATTTTGGAATGTTCTTTTTCTTCACTTACACTTTTTGCATTTTTGTTTTCTTCTCTGGTTCAGTTTCCCGCTGCTTGGCTCACTATGTTCGATGCCCTCTTGATTCTCCTGCTGATCCCCTTGAAAGATAAAGTGGTCGACCCCATTCTGAAACGAAAAGGCCTGCTGCCATCTTCCTTGAAGAGGATTGCAGTGGGAATGTTCTTTGTCATGTGGTCTGTGGTCGCTGCTGGTAAGCACTGAGGAATTGGGATCTCTAGAATGGGAGTGATAAATTTCTAATCTAGAATAGTTGCACATAGTGCTGCTGCCTCACAGCTCTTGGGCTCTAGATTCAGTTCTGGCTTTGGTGTGAAATTTGCATGTGCCGTCTGTGTCCACATGGATTTTATTTCGGCAGTCTGGATTCCTCCCAGTGTCATGTTAGCCAGATGACACTGTATCCCTAAACTGGTCCTATGTGCTTGTGCATGTGTGGGTTTGTGTAAATGAGCGTCCTTTCCATGATGTGTTCCTGCCTTCTGCCCTCTTATCTGCTGAGATGGGCTCTGGTATGCCACATCCCTTACCAGGAAGAGTGAAATTAAAAAACAAGGAGTCTAACTATTCTTCACATGGAAAACAATTTTAGCTATTGACACATTAAGCTGTTTTACCCATATCATATACTGTAATTAGCTCCGCTGCAGTTGGGCAATATTTATAGGAAATCAAGCTTTTGATGTTTGTGGATTATTCTCATTTAACATTTTAAATTAGCTGGCATGTGGTCAGTGAGGGCTAAGTTAATTGTGTTATCTTCTGCATAAGTGAATACATCTTTTCATGCAGAAAATTAAAGTTTTACAACGATGCTTTGTTTAAGCTTTATGCATTAATTATTGATAAGCACGTCTCTGACAAATCTAACTTGCTGTAAACAATCCAGCAAACTAACTTAACTGTACATCACATCTGCGTGAGTGGCAAAATGACAGGAGAAAGTGTAAGGGAAGGGAATACTTTTAAAAAAAAGCTTTTTTTTTATATTTACCTTTTTTGAGATTTTGAAGCTTGAAACGTTTGACCAGTCGCTGTTCTCTCCAGTAGAGTTGTTCTACTGCCCTTGCCTGCTCAGTGCATAATCAAGGACCCAGGAGGTGGTCTGTCAGAGAGGTATTAAAATTCTTTGTATTAAAATGCCAGCAGCTCTTGTTGCATGGATGAAAAACGAAAAGGTTTGCTTTGTTCCCCAAATCTCTGCAGGATATAGAGTTTGTTCTGGCATCTGATGCTATAGCTGTTTTTGATCGAAGTGACAGAATCCTGGACCAGTTCTGTGATTGCATGTATAATAACCTAGTGAAAAAAGCCCATGATTGTTGGAGATTATTTGGTGGAAATATTTGCTTATGAAATGTGTTGAAGCAGTCATTTGCAGGCTTCCTTAATATTTATGTGTTAGATTTTAATTGCTCTTATTTATGCATCTCCGATATTTTATTACATCTTTGTGGATGAGCAGCGTGCCTCATGTGAATCTATACTGCTAAGAATTAAGTATATTAGTTTTGTTTACAGCTTTTATATAGTATTAAATATAAAAGATAGGCACTGTCTCCATAATTGTTTTAGGGTTAATGAATTTTATTTTTCATGAATTGTGTAATTTTTCTCATTGCTTTTCACTGATGATGGGAAATTCCAAAGTTTGTTTTTGAAAGAAAAAAAGGAACTATAGTTAACCCACATATTGTAGTAGCTCACAAAGCAATCACTGTCTTTGAGTCATGTGGTTTTCTTTCACACATTGTGTTACTACCTGTTATATTAGGGCAGGAACATTTGATTTCCAAATGGGGGTTTCCTTGCAACTCAAAGTATACTCTTAATATACAGTTTTAAATCTTTAAAGGATGAATACCTTTTTTTATTTTTAAGTTCTTCACTGGATAATGTGTTTATATTCTCCAGTGTTCGATACTGGTATCTTCAGCTATTAGTGAAGATACTGCATGGCAGCATGTAAAACAGTAAAGTTTTTTTAACTGAAAACCTAGAGTAATTAAAGGAGCTATAAATATAAAGATTATATCTACTGTATATAATCTTTATAGACAGGTATGTAATTTTTATAATAGGTAAACCATTCTAGCCACATCCCATGGCTCATCATCAGGACCGATCTTACCCTGGTTTTCAGGCGTGAAGCGATCAGAAAGCACGAATCCCCTCTGGAAAGAGATAATGGTCCAGCCCCAGGCAGTGCTGGTCCTCATTTGCACAACTGGGTGAACTGGAGCAGACGGTGTAAAGCTCCTCAGTGAAAGTACAATAGCAGATCCAAAACAGGCCCTTGAACCCACAAGCCATGGCTTGTGAGTCCAGAGATTTATCCAATATAATAAAGTACTGGCCCAAAATTAAGATTACTACTAGAACCATCTAGTAGTTACACTTGATATTTGCTTGCCTGAGGCTTCTCATTTCTTCTCAATGGAAACTTGCCATCAAATGCAGAGATTCAGATTTGCATTTTGTGGGTGTTTTGAATTAATTGAGCTTAAGTCTTCTTTATTTGTGCATATTTTATATATTTTTTTAGAAATGTCATTTTTAGTTATTGTATAATTTAATAATCTAAATGAGATTTTCATCTGATTAATTTGAAGACATCCTCCTCTGAGCTAATCATTTAAAACTTCTGAAGTGTGTTTATCTGTTTTCCTTTTTTTTGTAGACAGTGAAAATAGTACACCTATCACAACAGTGAATATACACACATCATAGAACACAGTATTTTGGAAACTACGATAGTGTGCAATAGTTTTAAAACCCATGTGTGTTTTCAATTTGATTTTAAACTGAGTTCTCATAACTGATAGTGTATTGTCTATTGTTCATTTGAAAATGAAGTCAAGCAACTCAGGGGCATTCTCCAGCTAGAATTGAACAGGTTCACATACTGTATATGAATCTACAGTAAC